GAATGCCGCTATTACACGGGTCTACATGTGACTGCTAGCTATGTCACCATAGCAGCACACTCCTTGCTTATAGTGCACTGCTACAGTGATGTAGCAGCGAAATCTAAGTGTGCGCTGCCCATATGGCGCAGTTATGGGTGGTTACTGCACTGTACTTTAGTACTTCCAAGAGGAAGTACTAAAAGCATACGCAGTAACAACATCACCGTATGGTGACATGTAGACGTGCCCGGTGAGATTAATGTTAATCAGCATGGTAGGTGGTGATCTTGGTTTCATCAAGTGAGGAAAGGTGAGGCCAGCTAGCTATTGTATCAATAGCATGATTTTCTTTGGATTACTGGGTTTCTTTAAGGCCTTAAGATGCAACTGTCTCCTGCACAGGCCAAATTGTTTACCTCTGTTGAGCTTAAGCTCGTCGAATTGTGAAAATTGAAAGGTTGGTATGGATATAAGTGGCAAAAAAGACAGCAAGACAAATAGCCTGTTACGATGCTAGGAGAGATCATGGTCATCATCACCACTGTCCTCCGAAATGCTGACAGGTATTGCTATATTGTGGAGTTTTCCTTCTTTGTTTCCCCTCCCACCTCATCCTGGTTATCAGCTGAAGTGGATGTTTAGTGAGGAAGGCACAGACATGTAAGAGCTGGTCAAGGAAAGACTGAAATTACAGTAGCTTGCATGACAACATAAAGATGTAAAAAGGACCATTTAAGTGCTTCTCAGATTCTAAGAGGTATTGATCACGGGTTGTGGAAAAGGAAATAACAATTCAAGTGTGATAGGTATAATATCAGATGCAGTTACCCCAGAATAAATATGGGTCACAATATAGCAAAGCCATTTCTTGAGCTCTTTTCACATTCAGCTCTGATGGCTGTATGAAGAATAACGTTAAATGCAGTTTCACCCATTCAGGATTTGACACTGTTTTTCACTGGGTCCTCTACAGTGATATTACTTTTTACTCTTCTCTCCTTACAATTTTTGTACCCTACTGCCTAGCAAAAAAAAAATAAAACTAGAGGTTACCAGTAACAAAGCAAGAAAGGTACCAATTCACAAGGAATCAGACCAGTTCTGCATACCCAGTTCGATTTCCCATGATAAATTCGGTTTTATTGCAATTTTTTTTTCCTTCTGGCACCGACTAGGCTCAGTACAGTTATCCTTGCTGGAAAGAAAGGCCTCCTAATTTCTAGAATCTTAGTTTGTGGCAAAATATTCAAACCATACTCAGGCTCATATAATGCAACACACCTTATAAAAGCAACCATCCCTATTTTAAAACAGGGAATTGCTGCTTTTGAGGATAGGGTGGAGGCAGCAAATCCCAAGCAAATGTGTGATTTAGCATCGCATTAGCATAAAACTAAGGATCTCAAAACACTTTGAAACCATATGTGAGCTAAACATCTTCATTATCAATCACTATCATCTTCAGAAGGAGCAGGAAATAGATGGTTGGAGAACAAGAGTGAACAGCAGAAAACAGAAGTTTTAACACTGTGTGGCTTGTCTAGCTCAGGGTGCTCTAACCACTCCCCTAGACTGCATCCCCAATTTCCAGAACGATAAAGCCACACAAGGTAACAGTCATGCTGAAGCAGAATGAGAGCTTGGATGTGTAAGTGAGAGAAGGTGCTTGATGGTGGCCACGACTGACAAGATAACCCACACATTTTAGAAGCTGAGGCCTGTTGCACTTTCACAGCTGGTCTATGTGTAACTGTGGGTGTAGAGAAACACAAAGCTGGAAAGGACCCACTGTGATGACAAGCAACTACACCTCATATAATCCTTCTCCTTCAATGCATCAAACTCCAGTCTGGCACTGCTTATGTTGGTCACCTTGCCCTCTCCCTACTGTTACCCATTGAAAGTCTACTCTAAAAACTTCATTCTTGTAAGCAGACAGAAATCTATTTTTAAAATGTTCAGCCTAAAAGCATTCATGGCTAATTTGTACTTATTTGGTCTAATACCTACATTAACCTTTACCCTACATGCAGGGTAAAATGCACACTTGTAGTTTAAGTCTGACAAATAATAAAACCCTTTCTGAAAAATGTAAGGAATATCTCAAGAAAGCACAGCCAGTTATACTATCAAACTCAGATGAGATGAGATGAGATGAGATGTGATGTGATGTGCTCTTCAACCCAACCCACCCAAAAGGATTGCACACAGCTTACACCTGAGCTTTATACCCCCCAGCTCCCATAATGCCTTGCAACTCAGAAAAAGAAACTAGCTAGTTTTATATTTAGGAAAAAAAAAAAAGATTTATTTTTCTCCTTTACACACAGTCTTCCCCCTCCAGGTTCTTACTCATAAGAGGAAAAATAAAAAAGAGAACACCTAAGGGTGGAAGTAAACTATTTATTATTATGTTACTGAGTCATTTAGCACAAGACCTTCACTGAGCATGCTCCAGCTGGCTGCCTTTAAAAACAGGCAGTACAAGCTGGGCAGTTGCTAAAAGAAGAGTTAAAAGAAGATAAAGGAGATATAGCTGGACTGTGGAAAAGGATTGAAACAAAAAGAGCCAGTAGGTGCATAGTTTTCTGCTCCCAAATGTTGGTGAAGCTAAAGGCTTGTTGAAACTCAGTAGAGGATTCAGGTATTTAGAGCAGCAAGCAAGGCATTCAGAGTTTGACTAGGTTAAGGGCACATATTTATGGATGATGCAAATTCTCAAAATTCAGGACATCAAACTCTACTAATTGGCTAGGGCTAGAAAGAAATTTCCCTTATGGGCAAGCTACTTCATTGTTGGGCATGATGGGGAGTTTTGTACCATCCCTAGAGGCCTTTTATGTCCCCCTGTTGTCAGACATAGTAGACTAGATGGATCATAGGCAAAGCTTTGTTTCTAAACCTTCTGCGTAGACAGCCTGCTATCTTTAGGTGTTATACCATGGCCATCATTGGAGATTTGTTAAAGTAACGTGGTGCCCTTTTAGCTGTAGACAAAGAGTCAATTGTTTTAATGGAAATACAGCAGTGTTGGGGAGCATGGGCTGTTTAATAGGAGCTATACCCAGCAGTCTTCTTTATTAGCATGGTTCTCTGCTATAGTTACAGTATTTTAACTCCATGGTCTTGTATGGTGAAATGATATGGTGCTTTTGTCACTATTTCTATCAGATAAGAGCCCAGTTTCCTGTAAAGGGGCCATGGACTGAGGTGTAGGGCTGAACACTGTATAAGTCAGCTTTGAATGCCAGAGTCTGCAGAAGATGCCACCGGACTGAATTTGATGGACATTTTCCCTTGATCTCAGATTCCCTTTCAAACATAGTTTTGTCTTCTGTGTGAGTACGGTGTTGTAATGCATAGGACTTTGGGTATATGCCTCTACCTACTTGGGGAGTGTGCCTCCTTTTTTAATGCAGAACCCACTAGATTTCAGTACAGCAGTAACACCATCTGCATTGTAACCCAGCTTTGTATTTGCATGCATCTTTGGTAAACACAGTTGTTTGAAACCCTACTATTTTCTATGAAGCTTCCTCATATTGTTAGCATTGTATAGAAAGGAAAGAGAGCACATGTGAATGCATTTTTGCCCATCAGAAGACCTATCTGCTATCTTTTATAGCACTGTTTGGTTATTAAGAGGGAATTATTTAGCCACAAACACCCACTGTTCCAGCTTGTCTTTCTCTTGCGATGGTTATGGAGTGGATTTGTACCTACCCAGACAGTGGTGTAGGAGGAAACATGCTTTTTCCTCTTCCCTTTGTTATTATATTGTGCCAGAAGCCAACAGCAGTCCACAGAATCAGGACCTTTCTGGAAGCTGCAGGTAGGTAGCCTGAAGTAGGAGCATGACATGCACTACCCATCTCCAACAGGTGTGGTGAAGCCTTATTAATATTTGCAAAGCGCTTGAAGAACCTGGCACAAAAGATGCTGTTACTAATGCAAAATACCACTATGAATCTCATGTGTTTAAAAAAAAATATTCCTTTCTTTGCCTCTAGTAAAGCCCCCTGTTTAATGAGCTACATCCCCAGCATATACACAGATTCAAAGTAAAATGAACGTTTACAGGAGTTGTAATAAAGCAAATATAGACTTGTTTCAAAGAAACAGGTTCTTATGCGGGGATAAATTCTTGGCAAAGTCAAAGAGCTTTGCTGTTGCAATTTAACCACTCGCTTTCTCTCCCTTTTTACTGAACTTTATTGCCAATAAACACATCTTTACAAAAGTCTCAGGTTTTCAAGCAGGTGTAGGGTTTTTTGAGGGTGTTGCTTGTTAGGTAGCCAATGTCTGATTACTTAATGGTTTATTGGGTTTATGTACAGGCCAGAGGAGCATGGGTAGTTAGTACTCCTTGGAAATAGAAGATTCTTGAAGGTCTTTCGATCATCAACCTCAAACCCTTGAAGCTTGGCTTTTTCTCACACGTGGGATGTGACTGACCCGCAATCTTTTAGCTATAATGTGACCCAAAATAGCCACATACCATTGCAGGGTCATCAGCACCTGAGCATATATGCAAACTGGGTAGCCAAAGGAATTCAAAGAAATACCTAATCAGCCCGAGTTCTCCTTCCCCGAGTCTCTCTTTGAATTCTGGATTTAAACAAACTCCAACCAAAACTCACTTCTTCATCAAGAGATGAGTGCAAAAATCTAGATCCAGATTTCAAGAACATGCCAACGCTAGAGGTGGCTTGAATATAGACGGTTCACTCAGTCCATCGTAGACACATGAGGTATGCAGGACTAGAAGGAAACTCCCTAGTTTTCTTCCAATAATCCCATGTCATTGCAAACAGCCAGGTAATAAATGTTGATCTAAAAGCCTTCACAAGAACATCCATTTCCTTCCCACATGCCACCATAAATTTAAGGTTTCAATTACAGAAAATAAACCTACAATATGCCTTTGGTAGAGAGCAGGAGAAACCAGAAATGCTACCCACAGCTCCTGCAAGAGCAGAAAATTAATTAAAATATATTCAGATGACTGGTGAAAATGAGTCAAGTCCAACATTACACAGAAAAGGGGAGGAAAAATGAATGCAACCACTGCCCATGTACATCTGACCTGGATTAAAATCCCTTCCTGGCCCCACATCTAGGGACTGGTTTATTCCTAAAAGCATAAGAAATCTTAATCTGCTTAATCACTTGGTTTCTCAGTATCACTAAAGCACCCAATTAGCACTAATGCAGCCAAGCCAATCACCAACCTCTAGCTGTAGCCAATATCCAATTCTTCAAAGGAAAATGGAGGGAGGGAAAGAAGCAAAGTAAGGAGTTTGAAAGGAAATTTTCTTTTTTTCTTCCTGCAGCAGGACAAATAGGATCTGGGTTTGAATTTCACCCATCGTGAAATTCAGTAGGATTTGGTTTGGCATGTAGATTCGGGCAGGCTTATAGCTGAAATTCTGGAGTTTCTTCTCAGAACCATGGAGTGTCGCACAGTGGGTGCATCTACACATTCATTAATGTGCAGTACTTACTGCGCATTTAGTTTAGTACTTGCTTAATGGAGTACTAACTAAATGCACAGTAACTACAGTTACAGCACCGTAGCACTGGTACATGGTTATTTAGTGATGCTTACTGGAGAGTAGCATATTAACACAGTTTTTGCCTGGCACACTACTGCACAGTGTTATTATGCTAATGCACATTAAGTGTCTCTTGTAGACGCGCCCAGTGTCAGTGAAAAAGTAGCATCTGCCACTGCTCAGATTTAGGGAGATAATTAATAGAGAAGAAATTTGAAAATGTAGTTGTGCATTGATCCAAATATTTCATTTAGATTTTTTTTTTCAATCTTATCATGGTGCATAACATAATAAAAAAGAAAAACCCTGAAAATAAGCTGTTGGAATTGGGGGCGCCTCTCTAAAAATGTTGCAGGTTTGTCAGTTTGACACTGGTGGAACTTGTTGCCATAATGAAACGTTGGTGGTACTGGCACAATTTCCCCCAAACAGTTTTGCTTTCAATGGAATTTCCTTTTTTTCCAATGGAAAATAATTGCATACAAGTTCTAATGGTTAACTTTAAGTCTGTGATTAATTCCCTTGGCTTCGATGACGCTACTCACATGCTGCAAATACCTTGCTGAATCAGGAACTTTAAAGGTTGGAAACCTCAGAGAAAATTGGATGAGCTTGGTCTGATTTGGGAGTTTGTAATGAAACGCTAAAGCAGTGACACAAAACCAAATCATTTGCTTTGCTTTCAGCAAAGCTCCAGCATATAACAGAACTGCCTGCTCAGCCATAGTTACTAACTTGCCAGCATAGTGTTCCAGGGCTATATGTTGAACTCAAAGATTCACAGCTTGTAGGAATGGAAAAGACCTTGTGGTAGAAGCTATAAAGTTTCCCTAAGTCTTTGCTTTGCTAAGGAAGGATTGACCCTGAAAGACATAGGTGTAGCATCTCAGCTGCTGTTAACCAGAGTTGTGCCCTTGGCTGGAGAAGACACCTGTGCTGGAGAGAACCATTTATACCACCTGAGCATAGTCCCTAGTGTTTTAACCCAATTTAAAGCTCTCGGAGGATGATTTTTGCACATCTCCTGGGAGACTGATCTGTTGCCCAATACATCTCATTGTCAGTTTTCTCTGGCATCATCACCTACTATTTTCCTTCTACATCTTCATCTGGTGTAACTCAGTACAGTTCTTTTGGCTTTAATAGAGTTATGACACCAGCTAAGGATCTGACTCCTTCATTTCATTCCCACTATTCCCCTGTACCTCACAAAACAATGTTTAATGTCCTGCCACCACATATTGCAATAACCATGAATATTGGCCAGTTCCAGAATACTGTAAATGTATTATTTATGTCATCAAAAGTATTTTAGAAAACATAGAACAAATTGTACAGACAGCTTCCATTATTTCCTTATGCCTAGAAGGCAAATCTCTCACTTTCCTTTCACAGAATGTAACTTCAATTGATTTATAGCTTTGCAGATCATTCTTTGTGTGATTGCTGAATTCACTGTCCAACAGGGACTTGAGAATCCGTGTGTCTTGGCAAGTGCTATTCATCTTATATGCTTCAGTCCCCCCGTTACATTATTCTGATGTTTATGAACTACAGTAACAATGATCACTGTAGCTGAACATGGAGTTGAGATTAGCAGTCTTTCCCCACACATCATGGCATGCCGTTCATTTATGCAGCCATCTGGGGATCTGAAAAATTGATCCGCAAGAATGATATTTTTGCAAAGAAAGTCCCACCCCCATCGGAGGTAGATGCACACTTCCATTTTAGCTCTCTTCGTGCCTGCAGAAGTAACTTGCAGTCCTATCTATACCAGCCAATCATCCTAGGCATTTAAAACAATCCACTGGGATTGATTTGGGCAGTTTAAAATGTATCAGGTTAGATATAGGCAGACAAGGTTCCTTGGGTGAATTTGATATCTTTTATTAGACCAACCCAAATGGTTGGAGAATAGTTATTAAGCAAGCTTTTGGGTTCAAAAACCCTTCGTCAGGCTAAGGAAGCTGCAGCAGTTGGTGACAGGTTAGATATAACTTCTAGTCCTTTGCCA